CTAGACGATATTCAAAAATGAACAAGTTTCAGTTTGGTGGACAACTTTTTACAGAATCTAATGAACGAATAATTAATGTGAAAGTTGTTTAATTCGTCGTATCTTCCTGATTGCACAATCATTCCTAAAATTCTCGCATAACCTGTGAAATGGAACGACTCATTAGCAAAATCCTAAAATCTTAAACTCAACAAGTTTCAATCTCTTGTTCCATCGAACCATACCAAGATGCAATCAACTTTGTGTAGGAAGTCTACTTGATGGGTTACTAGCAAGCCAGTTTTTCCTTTCAACATTTCTGCAGAGAAACAAGCATAATAAGCTTTTATTGCTTTTGATTTAGCGATTAATCAAACAGAGAGATTTCAGTACTTACCTTGAACATGTCTGAACTAGTATGATCATCAATGTTGGTACAGAGAGTTGTACGGACTGGGTTTCTCGATTTCTCTTCCGGTTTGGGCCAAGAGAATCGCGAGCTTCTCTGCTCTGTGTTCTGGAGATAGAGTCGGTACTTGGTCCAGATTCAATTTYTAGCCTTTGCTTAGTAACCAGAGAATTTTCGATAGAAACGATGCAGATGCGTATAGAGAAAGACGTTCTCTGATGGAGCTATAGTGAAAGCTAAAACGCAGAGGACGAGTGAGCAAAACGACAGGAGAAGAGTGATAACGAGTGTCGTTTGGAGAAAAAGTATACTTGTCTTTTTGGTTGGGCCGATCAAACAAACATTGGCCCAAAAAGTAAGCTTAGGCCCTTTTAAATCGGGTCAATAAACCGTAGTAGATAGTTAGTAGTATATTTTGGGTATAACATAGCTACATTTTAAACAAAATTAAAATTTATATGGCAATTGGCAAATTCCAACACTTAAAAAAAAAAAACAAAATACGTCTTTCCTTAATTAATTAAGTCGCATCACATCACATTTTGACGCGAAAAAAGGTTATTAAGTCTACAAAACATCACAGTAGAGATACTTCAAATGGGAGATGATAGAGATACATCAAGTGGGAAAAAAAGACCCTAGAGAATCAGATTGTCATGACTACAAAAGAGAGCATTACATTCGAGTCTATACGAAGGAGCCCATTGTAACTCTAGCCTTTACCGTAAACATCCTCAGCTTCAAAGTAGAAGCGACCGTTGTTTGCCTCGGTTCTAACCACAACGAGCAAGTGATCATTGCTGATCTCAAGATTATCTGGCGGAATATCATATATGGCGCGGTTGTCAATAACCCGACCGATGAACACCGGTATGACAACGATCATGTTGATGAGATTGCAACAATTGAAATCAAGTCATACTAAATAGTTATAGTTATGGGATACTCTGATTTTTTATCACTTGTTTTCATACAAACAAATATGTTCAGTCTTTGCCCAAAAATAAAAACTTTGCCAAAAAAAAAAGTTTATGTTCAATATATCTTTTATCACATATTATGACTCAATAAAAGTTTTTTTTTTCCAAAAATTAAGTTTAACACATGAAATTTTCTTTACAGGGTTATCCAAAAAAAAAATTGAGAAAAAATATGATG